CAGACATTTTAAGAGCTTATAGCCACTTTAGGTTTTAACATTTGCAAGATTTTGAATGACGGTATACAGTGCATCCGGAAAGTATTGATAGCGCTTCACTTTTTCCACATTTGTCTGTTACAGCCTTATTTCGAAATCCATTAAATTGATTGATTTACTCAACATTCTACACACAATCCCCCATAATGACAATGTAAAAAAAAAAAAAAAAAAGTTTTTGAAATTTTTTGCTAATTTATTACAAATAAAAAAGCTGTAAAATCAGATGTACATCCATATTCACAGCCTTTGGTGTTTAGCTCTAAACTGAGCTCGGGTACATTCCGTTTCCACTGATCATTCTTGAGATGTTTCAGCAGCTTCATTGGCGTTTACCTGTGCTCAATTCATTTGGACATGATTTGAAAAGGCATACACCTGTCTATATAAGCTCCCAGGGTTGACAGTGCATGTCAAAGCACAAACCAAGCATGAAGTCAAAGGAATTGTCTGTAGACCTCTGGGACAGGATTGTCTCGAGGCACAAGGCTGGGGAAGCTTACAGAAACATTTCTGCTGCTCTGAAAGTTCTAATGAGCACAGCGGCCTCCATCATCTATAAGTGGAAGATGTTTGGACCCACCAGGACTCTTTCTAGAGCTGGCCGGCCATCTAAACTGAGTGATCAGGGAGAAGGGTCTTAGTCAGGGAGATGATCAATAACCTGATGGTCACTTTGTCTGAGCTCCAGTGTTCTTCTGTTGAGAGGGGAGAACCTTACAGCAGGACAACCATCTGTGCAGCAATCCACCAATCAGGCCTGTATGGTAGAGTGGCCAGACGGAAGCATCTCCCCCTCTGGAATTAGCCAAAAGGCATCTGAAAGACTCTCAGATCATAAGAAACTAAACTCTCTGCTCTGATAAGACTCAAATCGAACTCTTGGAGTGAATGCCAGGCGTTACCTTTGGAGAAAACCAGACAGCGCTCATCACCAGGCTAATAGCATCCCTACAGTGAAGCATAGTGGTGGCACCATCATACTATGGGGATGTTTTTCAGCAGGAGGAACTGGAAGACTAGCCAGGATAGAGGGAAAGATGAACGCAGCAATGTACAGAGACATCCTGAATGAAAACCTGCTTCAGAGTGCTCTTGACCTCAGACTGGGGCGACAGTTCATCTTCCAGCCGGACAATGACCCAAACACATTGCCAAAATATCAATGGAGTGGCTTCAAAACAATTTAGTTAATGTCTTTGAGTGGCCCAGCCAGAGCCCAGATCTAAACCCTATTGAACATCTCTGGAGAGATCTGAAAATGGCTGTACATCATCACTTCACCACCAACCTGATAGAGCTTAGGAGGTACTGCAAAGAGGAATGGGCAAAAGTTTCCAAAGACAGGTGTGCCAAGCTTGTGGCATTATATTCAAAAAGACTTGAGGCTGTAATCGCTGCCAAAGGTGCATCAACAAAGCATTGAGCAAAGGCTGTGAATACTGATGTACATCTGATTTTTTTTTTAGGTTTTTTATTTTAAAAAAAAATTGCAACAATTTCAAAAACTCTTTTTTCACATTGTAAAACGTTGAGGTAATAAATTAATTTAATCTGTTTTAAAATAATAAAACAAAAAATTTTAGAAAAAGTGAAGCGATATCAATACGTTCCAGATGCACTGTACAGGGTGGGCCATTTATATGGATACACCTTAATAAAATGGGAATGGTTGGTGATATTAACGTCCTGTTTGTGGCACATTAGTATATGTGAGGGGGCAAACTTTCTAAGATGGGTGGTGACCATGGTGGCCATTTTGAAGTCGGCCACCTTGGGTCCAACATTTGTTTTTTCAATAGGAAGAGGGTCATTTGACACATCAATCTTATTGGGAATTTTACAAGAAAAACAATGGCGTGCTTGGTTTTAACGTAACTTTATTCTTTCATGAGTTATTTACAAGTTTCTGACCACTTATGAAATGTGTTCAATGTGCTGCTCATTGTGTTGGATTGTCAATGCAACCCTCTTCTCCCACTCTTCACACACTGATAGCAACACCGCAGGAGAAATGCCAGCACAGGCTTCCAGTATCCATAGTTTCAGATGCTGCACATTCACATATTATTAGGGTGTATCCATATAAATGGCCCACCCTGTATATACACATATACACACAGTAGTCAACATTTAGAGTTGATCAAAAATGTTTGTTTTTTTTATTTTAAATAATTTTCCAAAAGAAAAGAATTAGTGATATTCAGTAGTTTTAACTTTAATTAATGATGATGATGATGATGATGATGATGATCTACTTCAATTGCTGATTACTATATATTGACTAAACGTAAAGACATTTTTTTTTACCTTTTAAAAGTAACTTAAACTCAAAAATGTGCTCATTCAAATGTGATCATGTGTCTCAACGAAGCTCTGGACAATTTTCAAGTTTACAGCCATGCTCACCAGATATGATAGGATGCAATTCATTATCATACAATCTGCTAAACGCAATGCT